GGGATGCCGAGGGGGGGGGGGAACGGGGGATCCTCAGCGCAATCAGCCCAGCAAAACCGGTCCGGCGACGCGGCGGCGAAGGGGGCGGCCGACGGAGAAGGCGGCAGCGGGGCCGCGGAGGAGGGAGGGGCGAGGCAGGGCGCCGGCGGCGAGGGGGAGGGCGCGGCGGAGTCGCCCGCATGGTCGCGAGGAGAGTCGCCCATCGCCTTTTTCCCAAGCTAGCTTGGCCCCAAATGTGGTGGTTTCTTGCAATTCACCTAACCCCCTTTTTCTGTGGCATCTTGCACCTTTTTTCCCTCGCTTCCCTCGCTAGAGTCGGACTGGGCTGGATGCGCCGTTATTTCTGAGCGAGAAGGATATCGCAGGCTGTAGTCAATGCCGCTTGTGTTTGTGTGGACTCGAACGGGAGAGAAGGAAAGAGCGCACCTCACAACGAGTTCGTGAGGACGGTGCAGGACCTACTACGTCCCTCGGCAGTAGATTGGTCTAAGTCAGAGGATCTCGTTCCGCGGCGACGGGATCCCGACCAGGTAGCACCTGGGCACGTGCGCGACGCGGGATGGAAATCGGACGGCCCGAAGGGGTGTGTGCTCGGGGCTGCAAATAAGTACAGCTGCACTTTTTAGGATTTACGAAAGAAAATCTACAAAAATCTTGGCGCAAAATAAAATGGTATAGCAGGCAGATTTTGAGTCCGAGTCGGATGCAAATCAGATTCATGGTCCGAGTAGGTGTCTCCCCCCCTCGGGTTACAAAAAGTAGCGCCCACCCCTCCCGACCTTCGTGTCAAGTTGGCCCCCGCAGACGCTAGAAGGGAAACAGAGCAAATTCCCCGCATCAATCGCTCCTCGTACTGCAAATCTAGGCCGCGATCCATGGATATCTCCACAGTTTCTGTCCGTCCCTCCACCATAATCGGCCCACGCGCCGCCGCCGACTCCACCTCCCTGCGCCCCGGCTATCCCGACTGGGTCTTACTCAACAAGACGGCGCGCATCTCCGACCAACGGAACGCGACCACCGCCTTGTGCCGCACGAGGGAGGGCCAAGCCGTCGCGGTGTCCTTCTGGCTCGTCGACCCGCCCGCCGTCTCCTACTTCTCCGTCCACTGCCCTGGTCTGGAAGACGACGATTTCTCCGACACCCCGCCCTTCCTTCTCTGCGCCGAGGGAGCCTTCGTCCTCTTCTGCGTCACCCTCGATGACTCCGTCCACCACTTCGTCTACTCCGCCCGAGGAATCCCCGGCGGGAGGCCGTCGCTGCACCGTCTCCCGGACCCGAAACCCAGGGTCGAAGCCTTCATGAGCCAGCAATTTGGCCTCTTGCCTTGCGGTAACGAGCACTATGCTGTGGCATTCCTCCATCACCAGTGGGAATCTAGTGACCAGGCTTGGCATTATTATGCCTACATCTTCTCCTCGGAGACAAAGGCATGGAAGAGAAGTAAGGAGGCCTTGCTCTACATATCCAAGTCTGATCAGTTACTGTTTGATAGACATGCCAGCTCCAAGCAGATCACTGTCAGGGAAAGCGCATTGGGATGGGTTGATCTCTTGCGTGGTATTCTTCTTCTTAGCAACCTGTTCGACGAGCGTCCTGTCATCACATACATACCGTTACCTAAATTAAAGGCTTGCATCACCGATAGGAATGGTTATCCTTCCTACGCGCCGGAATTCTTCTGCGATATAACATGCTGCGATGATCTGATCAAGTTTGTCGAGATAAAATTCGATGAACCGAATTGCAGGGCCAATGGTAAAGCATGGAAGGCCACCACATGGAACAGGAAGGTCTCTTGGGATGATTGGGGCAGGTGCTCCACAGTTGATGTTGCTGAAATCTCGGTTGACCCAAGTTATTTGTCATTGTTGCCTGAGCTTTTGAATGATGAAACCAAACAGCTGGAAATTAAGAACCTGTATTTCCTTAACCCCACCCTGAGTGTGGACGACGACGATCTCCTTTACATGATGGGCAAGGTGAACGAGGAAGACGACACAGCTTGGGTAGTCGTTGTTGACATGAAACGTGCGGCTCTGGAGGCATTGGTCCCGGTTTCTATCCAACCGTCATACACCGTTACGATGTTCTGTCCGTGCACCTTCCCCAAGTACTACCTCAATATAACACCAGGTATGGTAACTATATTCTTTTTTACATCATGCCATGTGATTTAGCAGCAACATAAGACTTTATTTTTTGCACTCTTGCTTGAAACTGGAACTTCTGTACTCTTGGTTGTCTGTCAGTACTTTTGTACTCTTGGTTGTCTGTCAGTTCTTGTGTGTGCTTGCTTAGGAGAATGTATGTTTCAGTACTAACACTGTTGACATTTACTCCATCCGTTTTTATTTACTATATTAGCTTTGACCTAAGTCAAACTTTATAAGTTTACAAAAGAAAGGGTTTCAAATATATATGCAATATATGTAATTTTCTCTTATTTCTTTATATCTCAAACAGCATGATATAGGACCATGGAATTTTATTATATATAACATAGATTTGTAGTAGAATGTTTTAATTAACAAAAATCAGAATTTTGGTGCAGTGAGAATAAACATACCACTATGAATGTACATACACCCATGCTTAGGAAATGCTTCACTAGTTTGGTCTTCTCGAAATTAACAGGTTTAGGTGTCTGAGACGGGAGGCAAGTTGCATATCTTAGTTATGATGACCCATGTGTCATTTATATATGTACATTACCTATTTACCTGTAGCCATCTGTTTTGTCCATTGTTATTTACTTAGTACTAGTTTTATACCTCTTGTCGAGGCCCTCTCCAATAAGAATTAAGAAGTGCTCCATTGCGAAGTTTATGTGCATTTATTTCCCCACTCTTTTATATGTGAATGTCCCTTTGTTATATAATACCTTTTTGAACAGACATTGGCAGTCCAGTTGAGAAGGATAAATCCGATAAATGGCCGCAAGGGAGACCCAGCCCCAATAACTCTGGAAGTGTGCAGAGGAAGAGGAGGAGGAAGAAGAAGCAGGCACGGGCTGCGGATTGCTGGTTGGAACAGCCATATTTGCTGTATTTTGTTGGCTGCGTATTGATTGCGATCTTCGTAAAAGTGTTCTTTCATCTGTCTGGAATGTAATAGTCAGTATGTTACCCTCTTATCTGCAAAAGTAGCGGCAAGCATAAGCATATTCTAGCAGCTGCTCTGCATGTAAAATGTTCTGGAACGAGTGTTGGATGAGGTTCAGTTTAAGCTGTGTTTAACCAGTTCTGGAACCGGGAACGGTGCTGCAGTTGATATGTTGCTTCTAGTTCTTAAGCAAGTTGGAATAAAATCATTTGAGCTTCATAGGTTTTCCCCATCAGTATGTTGCTTCTATCTTGTACCAATGAACAAACATGCAACATGTGTCTGCTTATTTTTGTTCTGGTGGTAAGGTAAGTGATGTTTATTGTTGCAGTCCAGTGAAGCTCCTTTTAACTGCGACAGATTGTCGAGCAAACGCACAGGCTTGTGCGTTCCTAGGCCAACCCAGTTCGGACGTTGTAGCGAGTGCGTGCGTATGTGCGCTTTTGAGTGGTTTTCTATTGGTTTCTGCGTTTTCATGTTATTTTTCAACTGATTTTAACATAATTACGAAAAACAAGGATATTATTTATTCTAAAAAGTAAAAATAAAATTGTGAATATGATTTTTTTTTACAAAATGTTCAACATATTTTGGAATTTCTAACATTAAGCTGATGAGTCATACAATAAAGCTATAGGAGAGAGTCATTGAGCACCGCCTAAGAAGAATGACAAGCGTGACCAAAAACCAGTTTGGTTTCATGCCTGGGAGGTCGACCATGGAAGTCATTTTCTTGGTACGACAGCTTATGGAGAGATATAAGGAGCAAAAGAAGGACTTGCATACGGTGTTCATTGACTTGGAGAAGGCCTATGATAAGATACCGCGGAATGTCATGTGGTGGGCCTTGGAGAAACACAAAGTCTCAGCAAAGTACATTACCCTCATCAAGGACATGTATGATAATGTTGTGACAAGTGTTCGAACAAGTGATGTCGACACTGATGACTTCCCGATTAAGATAGGACTGCATCAGGGGTCAGCTTTGAGCCCTTATCTTTTTGCATTGGTGATGGATGAGGTCACAAGGGATATACTAGGTGATATCCCATGGTGTATGCTCTTTGCGGATGATGTGGTGCTAGTTGACGATAGTCGGACGGGGGTAAATAGATAGTTAGAGTTATGGAGACAAACCTTGGAATCGAAAGGGTTTAGGCTTAGTAGGACTAAAACCGAGTACATGATGTGCGGTTTCAGTACTACTAGGTGTGAGGAGGAGGAGGTTAGCCTTGATGGTCAGGTGGTACCTCAGAAGGACACCTTTCGGTATTTGGGGTCAATGCTGCAGGAGGATGGGGGTATTGATGAAGATGTGAACCATCGGATCAAAGCCTGATGGATGAAGTGGCGCCCAGCTTCTGGCATTCTCTGTGACAAGAGAGTGCCACAAAAGCTAAAAGGCAAGTTCTACAGGACGGCGGTTCGACCCGCAATGTTGTATGGCGCTGAGTGTTGGCCGACTAAAAGGCGACATGTTCAACAGTTAGGTGTGGCGGAGATGCGTATGTTGAGATGGATGTGTGGCCACACGAGGAAGGATCGAGTACGAAATGATGATATACGAGATAAAGTTGGGGTAGCACCAATTGAAGAGAAGCTTGTCCAACATCGTCTGAGATGGTTTGGGCATATCCAGCGCAGGCCTCCAGAAGCTCCAGTGCATAGCGGATGGCTAAAGCGTGCGGAGAATGTCAAGAGAGGGCGGGGTATAGACCGAATTTGACATGGGAGGAGTCCGTTAAGAGAGACCTGAAGGATTGGGGTATCACCGAAGAGCTAGCTATGGACAGGGGTGCGTGGAAGCTTGCTATCCATGTGCCAGAGCCATGAGTTGGTTGCAAGATCTTATGGGTTTCACCTCTAGCCTACCCCAACTTGCTTGGGACTAAAGGCTTTGTTGTTGTTGTTGTAACATTTTTCTAAAATATAGACATTTTATAATTTTAAATATATTTTATAAAAAATGTGAATCTTTTATGAAGAAAACCTAGAACATCTCTAAAAATATGTTGAATACCTTTGGAATTTAAAATGAATAGTGAAAATAAAATCTAAAATATACTAGAAAATTAGAGAAACAAAAAGTATATAAAAGAACAGAAAAAAGAGAACAACAAAAAACCAATCACAAATCTTGTAAAAACTTTCTAAATGTGGAAAAACTAGATCCAAAAATTGAAAAACTAATGTAACACTTGTTAGCCTGGCCCATGTCGCTAGCTTTGTGCTAGTGCCCGACATTTAGTACATGTACATGCTTTCTTTTTTCATTTTATTTTAATAATAATAATAATAATAATAATAATAATAATAATAATAATAGTAGTAGTAGTAGTAGTAGTAGTAGTAGTAGTAATTATTATTACTATTATTATTTGTTTTTCATTGATTTTCTTTGGGTTATTTTTATTGCACTTTGGTTTCTTTGTTTTCTCACTAACAAAAGAGTCTGTGAGTTGCAATAGGAGAGAAAAAAAGCACCACACACCCCTAACCCAATAATCATGACTTAAGACCCCAATAGGTCTACCTTCTTTATTTCAACACATGGCATCTCATCTCTGTTTTCGCTTATTCTCCTTTTCACCCTCATCGACGGTGGCCACAGTTCTCACACAATCATACTGCTAAGACTTCTCCCTCTCTCCATAAGATGAGCAATCTGTTTTTTTCAGCGAGGTTTTGACGAGGTGTGCATGTGTGATTATTTATGGTTTGTTTTGTCTCTAATCTAGTTTTGCTCTGATGTTCATTTCTAATCCGGATAGGCACTGATATGAAAAAACAGACGGATCATGCGCTCCCGGTTATGGTTTCACCTTAACTAACATTTTTATTATTGTTAACTGGTAAAATAACATCATATTCAGATTCTAAATATTTTTCTAATCAAAATCCATATATACCATGTTAAATTTGGAGTTACGGTTTAAATCATATGGATATTTAAAAAAAGTGAAAATCTAACTTAAAACTGAACCGCGGATTGATTAATAGAAATAGTAGGAATTTTTTTGTAAAAGAAAAAATCTGCCTACAAATTGGTCTCTGAGTTGATTCTCCGAAAAGGCAGGGGCTTCTTTTTTGCAAAATGTGGGACGGATCGGCAAAAGTAGTAATCCATTTACTAGTAGAACGCTTTATGTTGATAGTAGCACTTTATATTGGATGGAGATCCAAATACATATATCCACTCGGATGTAGATATTCATAAGTTATTATTGTTGACAGTAGCCTGGAGGTAAAAGGTTGGGAGGCGAAATCACTAGCCCCTATTTTTCTCTTTGGCCGACTAAAGCTTTGAACTCATAAGTATCGCGTGAGTGTTAGCAATTGTGAAAGACTAAATGATAGTCGAGTATGTGATCTTGCTTAAATGCTCTTATAATGACTCTTTCCTACGTTATGATAAATTGCAATTGCTTCGATGATTGAGATCAA